TTTTTTTTTTTTTTTTTTTTCCGCGACATTTTTTTGGGATGCTTACAAATTAATTTGCAGCTCTTGGTTTCCCACCTGTTTCTGGACAAATGTGACAGTTCCAGCAGATCCAAAGTGTCAAGTTCTATTGGGATAGTGCAACAGCTTTGGTCAATTTGATTTATCAATCAAGGAAGCCGCTCCGGCCAGCTGCGCCGCAACATCTTGACTGGAATATGCAGGCCCAACATGGCAACGAGATGTTATCAAAGCACAGGCGGTGTCACTGCATCAAAGTTTTCGGGCCTCGCGGGTTCGTGGTGGTGTGCTTTTCCCGCAGTTTGGCAACACCTCTCCACTTCCAGGATGCCCTGCGCGTTGATCTCAGTCCAAGTTCCAGCCCATGAGTGGCTTCCAGCGTTTTGTCGTTCATGAAGATTCTTCATTGCCCGACTTGCGTGAGGGCTGCACCTTCAAAGATGTGCTGAATTCACTCCCGTGAGTGGCATTGGGGCTTAGTGTCTTCACAGGATGCGTGTTGTGAAAATCTTCAGTTGGAGTTTGACTCTACTTGATGTGTAATTTCTGTGAGAGGGTTGGGATGCATGTGCTCCTGTATTTGTCCTGGCAGCCTCATACTGTTGAACATCCCTATGTCTCGCCGCTGAACGCTTCCCCCTTCTAAGCTGCCCACGGCCTATAGCTCATCCACTCGTTGGGTGATGAGCGGCACTATGGCAGATTGTCCCATGGAGGCTGCAAAAAGGAAAGTACAAGACATTGCCTGGCCCTGCGACACTATGACCCCAACCAAAACAAAGGGTTTCGGCTGCACATGCAAGTGGCACATTCTTTTCCAGAAAGAGCTGCGACAAAACACTTTCAAGCGCGTTGGAGGTCGAATGCCGTCCACACTGGGGCAACAGGACCGCTCTGCGCCGCGATTCCTGCAGTATTGTCTAAAGCCAGCATCATGTGAACATCGTTCAGAAGCAGCGTGCTGTATATTCCTGAGGAAGGGGAAATGGTGTGTAGGTGTTTGAAGTAGTTTCAGAGCATTCAGGCATACACTCATCTAGATGCGCTCTCTGTTGGTTGCAGGGTACATGCATGTGACCATCACGGCCGAGCCATTCGACGCCCGGTCATTACCTGGCTCAATGTCCAGATTCCAGGCGGGCGTACTGAACATGATGCTCACGTGCCTTCACGACTTCAAGCTTTCGTGCAGTTCCAAGATCAAGGACGGTTTTCAAAGAGCAAATCTAAAGATAATGTGATAGAACGTGGCAACGACAGCCTTCTGATGCCAAGAGTAGCACGGTGCTGAAGTGCAATGCTTGCGTTCCTGTTTTTGCCATGGACGTTCAGCATGTTGACGCCTGCACATGCCAGTGCATCCCTATTGAATGTTACCTTTGTGAATGATTTGCAGAGAACGGACTGCAGCTTGTATTGGCATGGTTCGGCTCCATCTGGGCCTCGCAAAGACTTTGGGCCCATATTCGCAGGCTTGCATAAAGAGTTGGAGGTGTCCGAGGGGCATGTCTTCACGTTCGCTCGTGCTGGTACGTTGACACCATTGCTGAGGGTGACCGTGACCTCACAAGTTCATCGCTACATTCTCAACGACACCGTGGCAAATGAGGCGGAATCGACAGCATGCGCTGCCTCCTTGCAGTCAGATGCCTCCTTGCCGGCTGCATGCTCGTCCGTTTTATCTTGCACGGATTGTGTGCGTGTGCCTGGCTGTGGCTGGAGCATCGTGCGGCATCAGCACCTGCCTGAGCATTTCCGGTTTCATTGATGTTAGTTGAACAGCTTACAGAACTGTTTCTTGGCATTGGCATCAGTTGCTTGCTTCAGGTGTGTCATCTCGCACGCGATAGCAACAAGCTCCACGTGCAATGATGCAAACGCAGAAGACCGGTCCGCAGACGAATGGTTGAGCTTGGCTAAGAAGCTGATGAATCCTGAGAACTCCTCCGGCCTTCCATCGCTCCGAGAAGCCTACCAAGCCCTCGAGAGGGGAACACGCCAAGCCCTGAAAAAAGACAACGCGACCACGTCCCCAATCCATTTGCTGCTTGCCGAGATGAGGGCCAAACTCGAAGGAATCATCGATGAGGCAGATGCGGACTACCTAATTTCAACAACGCGACACGCGTCCCTTTCGAGCCTTAAGCCCCAGAATGTGCCGCGCCGCAAGATGGCTGATGCCAATGCTTTCATATCTCGTGCGCAGCCCGTCATTATCACAGACTTGTTTAGCAACTCGACCGACTCGAGGCACCCCATACCGCAGAAGTGGACGCTGGAGTACCTCAAGCGATTCATGCACGGCGGCCTCTACAATGTGGCCGCAGATGCTCAGAGGCTCTGCTGTCAATACTACGAGCCCAGGCGTGTTGCTGCTGAGGCAGGTTATCCATATCCATTTGCTCCCACAACGCACCTGTATCGGGATGACTTCAAAGGCTTCGTTGGGACACTGCGACGTGCAAATTCCGCAGATGCATTGCTACACTACATGCACGATGTAGTTATGGAGAGGGATGGAGCTGCAGTGGTGGCTGGTAAGCAAGCCACGCAGCAACTAGCTTCTGATTTGGCCGCGACGCTGGCAGCACTATGGCCTTTGGCCGAGATGCAGCCATTTTTTGCCGGTATCGCGAACGCAAAGTTGTGGATTGGTCAGAAGGGCGTGACTATGCGTCTGCATTATGATTCCTCTGACAACTTGTACGTGATGGCCTGGGGCAGGAAGCGTGCAATACTTGCAGAACCAGGTCAGTTCGGAGCCCTTTATCCTTATCCAAATGGGCACCCCCTCGCAGGGAGCTCTCAAGTGAACCTCAGCGACCCAGACCTCGAAAGGCACCCTGGCTTTGCGCATGCTACTCTTTGGGAGACTGTGGTGGGGCCTGGCGACGTTCTGTACCTGCCAGCCTACTGGTGGCATCAGTTTGAACAGCCATTTGAGGACACCGCTTCGGTGAACTTTTGGTCGTATGAGCGCACAGATAGTCCGCCAGTGAACGTGCGAGATAGGCGACTGCAGACCAACGCGCTGCATGACCATATGGAAAGGCAGATTGTCAAGGCCTTCAAGAACAAGGCCCAAATTGTCTGAAATTCCGGCTTAGAGGTTTCCACTGCACCTTGTACTAATGTGGTGAGAGAATCCTGCCCTGCCCAGGCAGGTGTGGTGCTATCATCCTTGGCTTCTGGAAGAGTAAAGAAGAAGTTTTGGGAGCGTGCAAACCGAACACTGCACGAGGCAGCGGACGACTGGAGGAAGTGGATGTTGAGCCTTCCAAATGCGCCCAGTGAAGATGCATACAATGCCACCGAGCTTATCAGCGACTTCCTTCAGAGGCACCGAGATGTTCTCAAACAGCGCTGGCCCGGCTGGGTGCCTGGAATAGAATGGAACATGTCTAAGATGACTGCTCTGGAGCCACATCTTCGCGGGCGTTGCAAGCCTGCAACTAAAACTGCCACCTTTTCCAGCGTGTGCAGCGCCTTAGCATCAAAGCGTTAAAGAACTGTTTCAGGCAGACAGCAAACCTACACGTTTAGCGCAGAGAGTTTTCCAGATCTAGTGGAGATGTCTTTCAGCGGTTTGACGCTTCCAGGATCGCCTTGACGCTTTTGATGGTGGCTGACTCACAAGTCGCAAGTCTGCACCATGGAGCATTCCTTGAATTGTTCTGGCGTGGTTTCAAAGTCAGTTTCAGTTTTCTTTGTGGTTGGATATTGGATTTTGTTTCTTTGTGGTCTTGTGGGACTGCGCTCGTCAGTTCACAGGTCTGTTCAGATTGCAGGATAACACATCTTCAAGTCAATCACGGTGTGCGTGGAACGTTTGAAGACCTTCCCCAAGTTGCAAGATTCCACACTATATCTCAAGGTCAGCAACCAAACAGCACATCGACAGAACAACCTGCTAGTTTCTGCCAGGCACATAAGAGAAAACGTCATGCTGCTTTGGAATTAGCAGTCTCCGTCAAAGGCACGTTCCCAAACTGAACCAGGCACAACCAGGCATAGGCCTTTGCAGTAAAAATCCTGGCATTGACCACTGATACGAGGTACTTGATCTCTATATTTCAGGGCAAGTCTTGGACAACATGGAGTTTATTTTGTTTGAGCCCAGCTTGACAACTGGAGGCATGCTGGTGTTTGTACTTGCTGCGGCTTCGCGGTGGCAACACGGCCACCAACAGCGGGAGTTTGAAGTTTGAAGGGGACGCCGGAAGGAAGTGAGCAGTTCTTCAGTGTTTGAAGTTAGAAGCTTGGACAGCAATCCTGTGTACCTGTAGGGCTGCGTTCAGCTCATGCGTCCAGGCTAAGATGCAGCCGTGTCTACTTCAGAAGTAGCATTCCCCAGGACAGGAATCCTCCTGCCTGCATTGGACTTGCGTTGTGCGCGCTTGCAAAGAAGAGCGCTCGTTCAAATAGATTCTTAGTTTCTGAGAGTGGAACTGCGGACAAAAAGGATTTTCAGCTGAGCTTTCAGACTAGCTTGAATAAATGCCCTGGAAGTCCATCACGAGGAGCCCTTGTGCCTGAACTCTCATCATGCAAGCCCATGCTTGGAGGTGGCTTCTGCCCAAGGATACCAGGCAGTTTACACTCTGTGCATGCTTGTGTGTGTAAGCCTGTTTTGGTCCATGCGTAGTGCTAGGTCTGCATGCATCGTTCAAGAGCTTGATGTCCTGGTCGATTGCAGCTTTTGCGAGAGTCATGGCCAAACTGGATCACAGATATGATTTGCATTTTTCAAGGCATGCACATATGGCAGCCCGATGCCGACACCGAAAAGGCCGCATCATGTGAATCTTGAGGCCTTTGGTTTCCGATTTGAAGTGGCAGGCCCAGCTGGATTGGCAGTGGCGCGAAAGTTCCAATTCAAGCGGCCAATCCTAGAAGCCAGGCCGCTTCTGCCCGCTTTCCTGTGTCTAGGACAGCAACTCAAATTTCCATCAGGCTGTGGAGATGCCTGCGTGGCAGAGGATGTCAATAGCCTCCGCCAATGCCTCAGCTCAGCTCAGTGCAGCAGTTGCTTCAGCACAAGGTGTGGCTGACTGCCTCTGCACCTCCAATGCATTTTGCTCCATCTTGCTCCTTCAGCGGTCTTAGTGTACGCAGTCCTTACAGCCAGAAGCCATGGGGAAGGCAGCAAAGGGAGGCAAGAAGCTCCCCGCGG